CTAAATATAGAAACTATCACTACAAACCAGTAAAAGTCTGAAATGGCCTATATCTGTACTCGACTGTACTGATTTTTACTCGACCAGTCTGAATTGGTCTGAAATTTACTTGATAATACTCGACTGTAGTCTGAACCATACTTAACAGTCTGAACTTGTACTCGACCAGTACTTAACCATTTTATATGAGTCTGAACCATGCTCGACCTAGTCTGAACCATACTCGACCTAGTCTGAACCATACTCGACCAAGTCTTAACCAACCTAGACCTATTCTTTGTATCTATATATCAACTGAATTTTATCAATTTAGGAAATGTTTTTAAAAAAAATGAAATTTGACCAACAACTTGAAATTAAAAATGTATTCAATATAGTATTGAAATTAAAATTTCACAATAATCAATCATAATATAACTTCAACACAATATTCATCAACAATTACATAATTATATATATCAACTTTAAAATATAAATAAAACAAGCTGATCTAATAATCTCAAAAATGAATTGTGACTAATATTTTCAATGTTATTCAAAATTTTTTGAATGTTTCAGAAGTATTTTATGGTAACTGGACTATTTTCAGTATAGATTTATGGTGTCAGTTGAGTTTAGTTAATAAAGCAGTGAATATTTTTTTATATTATATATATATGTAAAATATAAAGCAACTTAATAAATTTAAAAAAAATGAGACCTTTGTTTTGTTTTGTTAAACCAAGAATTTAATATAATCATGATAATAGAATTTCCATAGCAATCCTTGATAACCTTTTTAAAAAAGGAAATGTGTTCCAAAGTAACAGTAAAAATTTATTTCAATTAAATTTAAGTATTTTTTGTCAAATTAAAGACATGGCGTACAAAAAGCACTTTAATATGGTTTAATTACCTCAGTACATGTGTGTTTTACAGGTAAAAAGAAAGACCTATTTTCTTAAACTCGTGTATTACTTATCTAGTATATTCGAAAGGCCTTGTTATTTAAATTAAACAGGATGTTGCAATTTTGAATAGATGTTATTTAGAATTTAATACATTGTACCTCTGACCAGGTGTGATCTTATTAATGAGTTTGTTCCCAAGCAGAGGTATTACTTTATACTTCACCACTAATCAGAAGAACAATTTTATTAATTTCTTTAATTTAATCCGTTTTTGATATAAATTATATATAATATAAAAAAAATATCCCAAATTATAATAATAGATTTATTTCTAATATAAGGTTAAACAATTCATTGCTTTTGTTGGCTGTTGTTATATATGTCAGTTAAAAAGAAATTTATTTTAACAGTTAAAAAAAGTAGAGGTTATTTGGTACAGTATGGTTCAGACTGGTCGAGTATTGTTCAGACCTTTGGTTAAGTATGGTTTAGACTGGGAAAATAGGTCGAGTACAGGTCGAGAATGGGTTAAGACTGTTTCAGACTGGTCGAGTAATAGTTCAGACTATTTTCAATGGCAAAGATAAGGGTCAAGTACAATTCAGTACAGTCGAGTATGGTTCAGACTGGGGTCGAGTAATGTCAAGTAAAAGTCAGAGCAATTCAGACTGGTCGAGTAAAAATCAGTACAGTCGAGTACAGATATAGGCCATTTCAGACTTTTACTGGTTTGTAGTGTATGGTTATAATCCTTTGAATTATTCGAATTTATTTTGTTATAAACGCAAATATGTAGGGGTGGCCAGCTGTCTAAACGTGCCTCTAGGTTTTCCTTGAAATTTCAGATTTGACCGTCGACCCAAATTTAAGAAAATCGTGACCACTGTAGACAACGACGACATCAATATTTCGACGAGACTTGTTCTCCTCTTTCCAATGATATAAAATATAGACGTGTGTTATTCCGTTAACCCAAATCGATCAAATTTGTTGACTGGGCACCCTACTAATTCTTTTAAACCTGCCTCATAACAAAGTTCTGTTGATTGTGTTAAATATGTCTGGCAGAAAATGTTTTACAACATTTTCCTATCCAACATAATAGATTTACCAATACTTCAATTAAAATGCAATAGCTTGGACTGAGACTGAAGGATTAATGATGTGCTCATGTCGATGTTGTTATAGGACTTTGACATTTTATATATCACTACATTCTGTATCATAATTTACACCAAGATGTCGTTAAATGAAATTGGATATCCCGCATTTATCATGTTTTCAATAACATATGGTCAAATCGCTGGAAGACCCCTCCTAAATTATTGAAACTATCATTCTGCATTGACAATAACATCTTGGTGTAAATTAGATACACCAAATCCGGCGCACGCCCTCATAGGTGTATCTCATACATAAAAAAAGGAGATGTGGTATTATTGCCAATGAGACAACTAATCACAAAGGTTCAAATGAAGTGGATATAATGTTGATATAAAAATAAATTTGTCCGTACAGCTGCTGAAGGTCTTAGGTTGTTATAAAAAATCACATTTTCAGTACAGCTGCTGAAGGTCATAAGTTGTTATTAAAATCACTTTTTCAGTAAAGCTGCTGAAGGTCATAAGTTGTTATAAAATCACTTTTTCAGTACAGTTGCTGAAGGTCATAAGTTGTTATAAATATCACTTTTTCAGTACAGCTGCTGAAGGTCATAAGTTGTTATTAAAATCACTTTGTTATGTCATAAGTTGTTATAAATATCACTTTGTCAGTACAGCTGCGGAAGGGCATAAGTACAGGAAATATGTATATTTATGCTTTTCGTCAAGATAAAATTGTAAAATATGAGCTTCAACTTTACCGGTCTTCCATTTATAAGACCGAAAGTAAGTGACGTTCACAATTTCAAGATTTCAAGAAAGACAGGCTTGCAATGCACACCCACTAGTTATACCTAAAAATCTTAACTACAAATTGTAATACTAGCTGGCTTTCAGTAACGGGTTTTGCTCATTGATGAAGGCCGTACGGTGACCTATTAAAAGTTGTTAACTTCTATGTCATTTTGGTCTCTGGTGGAGAGGTGTCTCATTGACAATCATACCATATCTTCTTATAATTATAGAAAGGGCATATAAAATTAATATTTCAGGAAAATATGACTACCGATTTGAATTATGCAATCATAAATGATTACCGAACAATTTATTGTTTATTATTCATTTGAACAATAGTAACCCGAACTCAGGTAGACTTAAGACTATGACCTATTTGCGTGAGCCATAAATAATGTTATCATGCCACAAAAATATACAGAAACCAGGATGTATTTGGCAAAGACCTTTTTTATTGGTGAAGAACGTGTGCTGTCCTCAACTTCTTTCATTTTCATTTCTTTTTCTTCAAAATATCACCAACATATTGTTAAACAAAAATAAACATATAAATGCATCAATCAACGATTTGATATTAGAATTTCAGTTTCAAAAAAACAAAATCAGGCGTTTATTCATTCGTTACCTTTACATGCTCGCTATAGTAAAAGTTCTAAGGAAGAAAGGAGAAAGATGGCCAGTCTTAAATTCTAAAGTTGAAATAATCTTCTCTTCGAAAAGTTTAAGGATGTCATTACATGCTGATTGCTATAGAATATTTGTGTCACATATAACGGTGAATGTGTTTTTTTTTGTCGTAGCCACAACGACATCCTTGTCTTACGGAAATCCTGATTTTAAATTCTAGATTTATTTAGTTCTGTTGTATTTGCTGGGTTTTATGTGTCATGTTCAGTGGCGCCCAAAAAAAATAATTATGTCATGTTTTTCACGATTTATATAATTTTTTAGCATAAATCGTTTAAAAAAAAAAATATAATCCGTTTTATGGAATAACACCCCCCTTTCAAAATTCCTGGTTCCGACCTTGATGTTTAATTTGTGTACGTTTTTTTTCTTTTGATGATAGTGTTGTTTTTTGACAAAACGGTATGTTTTTTCATTGCTCCTCTTAGTAAATTCTTATATATACTATCAAAAACGCAAAACCTGGTCAATAAGATAATGTATCTTTTTTTCAATTCACACTTTTAATGCAGTAATTCAGACGAATCATAACAATAGAAAGAAGATTTTTTACAAAGAATGTTCATCTGAACCAACACAACTTAACGTGTTTAGTATAGTTCCGAAGAAGTAAAGATTTTCAAAATGAGAAGATTCGATAATTCTTTCATTTAATTTAGCGATACGATTTTTAAGACGTCCGAATCATTAAGTTTTACACATTTTCAATGAAGAATGTACGATTAATCAGTAAATGATCTCAACCGCCATTTTGTTATAAACACACTCAACATTTCAAAATCTAATTCTACTAAAAAAAAAAAATAACACATGCACGGGAGAAAAATAAAAATGTTCTGGAAACAATACGTAAAATAATTACTAGATGATATATAGTAGACTGTTTCATAAATAAGTCTTATTGATATAATTATATTTGTTCATTTTGTTCATTGTGTTATAATTTAGCTGTTACAGTAATTAAAACTAATATTAATTCAATATAATGATGTTTACCAGAAAACAACCCTAGCTGGATTTCTGGTATTAATAAACAGGAACTCTTCACTAGAATGCTAGACTCGTGAAGAACATTGTTAACAGCAGAAGTGCAATTTGTTGTTGAATTAAAAAAAAAAGTCCTGCCTATGCATGAAATATTTCCTACTGGACGTTAAGCTATCAACAATCAATTAATCTACAATAAATAGCAATTTGATCACATTTGTGTTAAAATCGTTTAACAATTAGTACTGTGCAATTTAATATGTTTTAGTACCGAAGAAAATTTTGGGTGCAATTTAAACAGTTTTAGTACTGAAGAAAATTTTGGGTGCAATTTAATCAGTTTTAGTACTGAAGAAAATTTTGGGTGCAATTTAAACAGTTTTAGCTCATTTACTGCATTTGATTTACCTCTGAAGTATAATTTCAGTTGAAACCCCTTCATAATGACACGCTTATATTAGACAGGTTTTATTTTCAAAATGCAAAGGTGTGAAAGGGAAAGGACACACACGGACTTTAGAAATAAAGGTACAATCCACAACGTTTTACTCTTTACTTTTTAAACCAAAATATGGCATAACGAGCTCCACTACTTGCAATGCTGAGTTAGAGTCATATGACAATGAACGAGAACTGAATGCATTTACAGCAACAAATATCTCATCTTTTTTTGACGGCTTTGTCATCTGTCTTTCAACGTCCGGCCATATATAACCTGGCATCCATAGTTGCCACGCTCCACCGTACGGATAATTCTGCCAATAACTTATAATTCCATTTATTGGAGGTGGTATGTCTGTGAGTGGCAGTCGATATATGGCAGACAAATATTTCTCTGTAACTTTGACTATTTCTTTTCCAACGGAGAAGACATTATCACTGCTATTTATATTACCGTGTTCCCTTTCAATTAGTTCGTTCCAGTATGGTATATCACCATCATTGTACATGGGTAGAAGTATAGACTTTGTAGGATTAGCTTTTGATGTTCCGAAATCGTAAGTTTGCTTTAATGGGGTATCTGATATAGCATAATCTGAGTAAACCGGGGATCTCCTCCACCATGGACAATTGTACGCGAGAAAAAATTTTCCAGCGCTGACATCTTTTACTGCTTTGGTTATGTATTCTCTGATATGAGGTTGATACAAACCCTTCCAGTTAAGCTTTTCAAGTGATAATCTATTGACTGCGAGGATAACCTTTTTTGCACACTTCTTTATAAAAGGTTTATTCTAAAAACAAAACATATATTTGATTATATTTGCATATTTATTATATACTTTGTAGTATTGTATGTAAAATCAATCAATGGCAATCGTTATGTATCAGGCATCCGTGTGGATATCAGTTACGGCTTGATAGATCCTCATGGAATACAAAGACAAGACGACCCGCTCAAATAGAAATCCGTTTGTTGTCATCTTCCATCCCGATCTGACAAATATTTCATCTACCCTTGTCCGCAAGCACTAGCGTCTTATTGAAAATGACTCTTTCATAAGAGAAATTTTTCCATCACCTCCTGTTATTGCGTATCGCAGACCCAAAAATCTCAAAGATATACTTGTTACATCTTAAATAAAAAAACAAGAGACCTCTAAAATCGGGTGGGGAAAACAATACAGAAGAAGCAATTGTAAGTGTTGTAAAGTCGCCAACACTGAAAACTCTTTCACCAGCACAGTAACAAAGCAGCGATACAACAGATATATAACATCTAATTGTTAAACGGAAAATAATATTTATATTCTTACTTATCGAACTTGCAAGCTGCAATATGTTGGTGAAATAGAAACTAAATTCAACATCAGACTTAATAATCACCGGTAATTTTATAACAAAGGAAGAAACTGCCCAATCACGAAACACCTCTTAAGAACAGGATATATACTTTTGAAAATTTCACCATTCAAATAATAGAGGCAAACCAAAGTTGGGACACCTAGAAAACAGAGAGAGAAAGAAAGAGAAATTTTGGATGCATCAACTACGTACTCTTGAACCTGATGGACTGATTGAGAGAGATGAAACAGTTTTATCAAAAATCAAAGGAATAATTCTTGAACTTCATACTGTTTAACTAACACTATCATTTGTTTTGATCAATTGATCGCAATGTACAATAAGCTGCAAAAAATATATTTAAAGGACATGAACGATAAGCTGCAAAAATTTCTTATCAGCATCCAATATTAATGATGCTAATTTGTTAAGCGAAATATATAAAATACAACAACTATTTTTGTAACACTCATTAGCGTGTTAAATTTACATTCTTAGACATTTATACATAAAATATGTATAAAATTGAGAATGGAAACGGGGAATGTGTCAAAGAGACAACAACTCGACCAAAATAGCAGAAAACAGCCCAAGGCCACCAATGGGTCTTCAATACAGCGAGAAAATCCTCACCCGGAGGCGAGCTTTAGCTGGCCCCTATACAAAAATGTATACTGGTTCAGAGAAAATGGACATCACACTAAACTTCAAAACATATAAATGAACCAAAATTAAAAAGTTTAAAGATTTGCACAACGGCACTAATATATGATGGTAATATACGAAGATGATGTTATAAAATCGTATTGACAACTATATCGACTTAACAAATAGCCTTCGTCAGTGTCAATAATTTTTACAATACTAATTTACAAACAATTAGTAACGCTTCAACCAATACCAATTTATCAATTGTTTAAATGAAATGCTGTTTACTGATCGTTACGTCTGTTCATGCCTTGTCTTTCACGATCAAAATTATCCGTTGCCTGATCTTTCACGATCAATTTTGATTAAGAATCAGCAAAATCATACTTTAAAAAAAAAAAAAAAATATGTTTTTTAATAGAAGTAAATTCAGTATTTCTAAATAGTAATTTAGAAGCACATAGAAGCTGTCATCTAATATTTATAAAAGAGGGGTGAAAGATACCAAAGGGATATTCAAACTAATAATCAAAAACAAACTGACAATGCCATGTCAAAAAACAAAAACAAAACAAAAACGACAAAAAGACAAACAGTACACAAAACACAACATAGAACACTAAAGACGGATAAATACTTGATTGAGACAAAACTAAACGACAAGTCGGTGAAATCAGTGTTAAGATACCACTTAAGGTAGAGAAAAAAGGTTTGTCTTACCTAAAATTAAGGGTCTTATAACACCGGTTTTGCTTAAAACATGTGATCTCTGTAGACTTGACTATATTTTTGAAATGATTTTCGAACTATTTTTCACCATATACCTTTGCTTTCAAGTGATGGTATCACATATGCTAACTTTACTTGATCTATGACAGTGTCATCGCGTCTTGCGTACAAAAGTTTATTCCTGCTATCTATCATGAGTTTATCTATAATAACTATTGGTTATATAATTTTCACTACCATCCCATATTCATCTTAATAATATTTAATATAGTATATCTAAGTTTAGAAAAATTATTTACCTTTATAATGCTAGTTCGTCCATTTCTGGTAATCGTGGGTTCAAAGTACAAGTTGTAATTACTATTTCTCATTTTTTTTATTGCTTTCAAATGGTGATTTAGCTTGATATTGTGCCTGTTAAAATATATAACAAATAAGTATCTAATTTCTGCATTGAACTTTCAAATGAAATCGTTTTTGGGCAATGTTCAGTTTTCTGTGAACACCTTGTTTGGCTATTGTTTGTCTTTTTGCTTCTTATCTCGATTAAAAATTATATCTCCGTATTCACTCATTTTTTATGGTTGGTCGATGCCTGGCAGTTATCACTTAACATTCTCAGTCATTATTGTGTACTGAATTCATGCTATGTTGTTGGTTTTTTTTTAATTTACAGTTAGTATTTTTTACAAACGCAATGTTAAAAATTTATCTACAGCTGAATGAATAAATATATATGTGTGAAGGAAATATATAGTATATCATCAGGTTAATCAACTAATTAGAAAATCGATAAAGAAATATCACTAGTGAATTCCTAAAGACCTTAACACAAAGTTAATATGGAGACGCTTCAGTGAGGAATTATATCTCGAATTAAGAAAGAATATCAGTTTGACGCAATTAGACTTGTGGGATATATACAGTAAATATGTAAAAAACTGCGACTTATGCTTAACTTCTACATAAAAGATTTGGACAGGTGTCATGCGTGAAGCAGGATCTTTTTTCCCTTCCGGGGCACCATAGTTCACCCAAGGTTTTTGGTTGTGTTCGTATAACTACTCATTCTTTAGTTTTATGTTTGGTGATTTGCGGACTGTTGTCTCTTCATCGTTTTCATATTTGGCCATGGTGTCGTCGGTGATAAGTTACTAATGGTTCTTCTATTGTCTTTTCTATCATCTCCCTCATTTTTTGACTCACCTTCGACTCGCCCGAAGGAACGTTTCAAGTAGCTTTTCAGGTATAGAACTAAATCCTGTTGTCACTGTTGAAACTTCATCTTCTTTTTGAGACGGGGGAGATGTCATAACCTCTGCCGATGCACTTACGCCTAAATCTAGGAAAGAGGATGTGTCTCTGATATAATTCTGTGCTTCTGAACTAAGGAATTTATGGTACAACGAATTGATACTATAAAAGAAAAGAGAAAGTGAAATGAGCATTAATAGTATTTATCACACACGTGTGTTTGGCGGTCATTGAGGTGCTATTTCAGCCCGCTATTTTCCCCCTTACAGTGACGTACTGTATATATTTGGGCCATATTTTTTTTTAAATTCCATAAATCTATACATTTCCTTTAGCCAAAACATTTGCCATTCTAACTGAGGATTAACAGAGGATAAGAATGGCATTAATATTTTATTTTCTCTGCAATGACATAGCCTTTTTGGACACAATTTTGTTGGTCTTGTCTTTAGCAATATTAGTCAAATGTCGATGATTCCATCTGTCAGTAAAGGTGGAAGTCATGGAACTTTATATATGATAAATGCATAGTCTTTTTACAAGTATGACTCCAAACTTTGTTCAGGTAATTTATTCCAATCTTTTATAGTTTGGCAGAAAAAAGAAAATTTTAACTGTCTTTGCTGCAAATTTGTCAGTATGTTTGTTCGTGGTAAGACCTGGTGTTTGCTCTGCTTTTAATTAGAATGTCATCATATGGTATGACAATTTTGTTGTTGGTGATTCTATGGAATATGTTTAATCAGCTTTTAAGTCTTCTTTATTGTAATGATGGCCACTGAACTGTGTTTAGCATGTTTGTAACACTTTTAGTATATTGGTATTTAGAAAATACGTATCTTGCTGAACGTCTTTGGACTTTTTCTATGTAGATAATGTTCTGTGTTGTGTAAGGGTCCCAGACGGTGCAGCAGTATTCTAGTTTTAGCTTGGGCTAGATAAGCTAGGTCATTAATGGTCCCTGAGTTTGTGTTGAGATTTCTTCTGATGAATGCAAGGGTCTTGTTTGCTTTAGATGTCACGTTCTGAATGTGTTTGTTCCAATTTAAATTTGATGATATTGTTACTCCGAGGTATTTTGCATTTTCAAATGAATCAAGAATGTAACCGTGCATATTATAATAAAAATGAATAGGTGTTTTCTTTGAGGTCACTCGGAGTATGTTGCATTTTTCAGGATGGAACTGTATTAGTCAGTCTTGTTCCCATTTGATTGTACCTTCTAGGTCCTCTTGGAGTTTTAGGCAATCTGATGTTGATTTTATCCTTCGGTAAATTATACTGTCGTCAGCAAGGACCTGATTTGACTGTGATGTATAAAGTCAGGTAAGTCTTTAATGTATATTAAAAAAAGTATTGGACTTAATACAGTGCCCTGAGGGACCCCTGATGTAACTGGTATTTTTTCAGAGGAATGGTTTTCTAGTATAACTGTTTGTGTACAATTTGAGAGAAAAGATTTTATCCAATTTGTAGCTTGTTCTGATACGCCAAAAAGTTTATATAATTATCGGTTATATGGAACTTTATCAAAGGCATTTGCGAAATCCATGATGATAAGATTGGTTTGTATGTTTTTATCGTTATTTGATTACAGCTGGTGAATTAGTGAAATTATCTGGGATTCGAAAGATCTATTTGCCCTGAAACCGTGTTGCAAGTATGTTGTTTAATTCAAGGTGTTTCATGATGTTGCTTGCAAGTATGTGCTCTAGTAATTTGCAGGAAATACGTGTTAATGAGATTGGTCCATAGTTCCCAGAATGATGTTTTTCTTCTTTTTTAAAAACAGGTGTTACGTTTGCGTGATTCCAATCATGAGGTACTTTTCCTGTTTTTATTGATTTTGTGAAAATTTAGAGTGAGTATGTCTGTGCATGTGTTAATCATTTCTTTTAGCGCTATTCCAGTTATGTTATCTGATCCTGTTCCTTTTTTAGGATTTACAATTTTTTTATTAATTTATAGATGCCTTCTCTGTTGATGTCTATGTTGTCCGTTGTTGGGTGTGTTAGTGGACCTTTGTCAAGGATTACTGTATTAGTCTCAGATGTAAATGCTGATTTAAATAGTTCGTTTAATATATTTGCTTTTTAAAGCAATCTGTATATAGTCAACCCTTCACTTCTAAGAGGTGCAATACCAGTGTTTTTTTGGTCTGGCCTTTTATGAAAAGAGTTTTTTAGGTTGTTTCTTGAACCTCTGATTTTCAGGTCTTGTATTTAAATGTCGAATATTATTTTTTCAATATATTTCTAGTAGGCATTTCGCATTTCTTTCTGTAATTGTGTTTTAATTTGTTTGAATTTGTTAAGGTGTTTACCATCATTGTTGTTCTTTTTATATAATTTGTTTTTCTTGTTTATCATTTTTTTGGTAGGTGTGTTTTATTACCTATTAGGTTGGTTGGTATGTGCTTTTGGATACTTTCTGTTGTTTTTGCTTCGAAGTAATTTTACATAGTGCCTATATCTACTTTTAATTGGTGTTCTTTCATATGTGTGTATGTTTCTTTCAATTTTTTTATACATCGCTCATGCAAAGCTCTGATTCATTTCCGGCTTTGGCTATACTTTTCTTTGTCATTTTAGATTTATCATCTCTTCGTTTGTTTTGATAAGGTTTGGATTTTTAAAATATTTTGACCTCGACCTTTACTGAAGAGACTTTTATTGTCAACAACAGATCGGTGTCTATACAATTTGTAACACATTCATCTATTACCGTTCCTGGTGAAGGTCAATCCAGAAAAGAGCTGAAATCCTTAACATTTTTGAACTATTCTATTCCATACTTTTTGTTTTATAAAATTGAGAATGGAAATGGGGAATATGTCAAAGAGACAACAACCCGACCAAAGAGCAGAAAACAGCCGAAGGCCACCAATGGGTCTTCAACGCAGCGAGAAAATCCCGCACCCGGAGGTGGTCCTCAGCTGGCCCCTAAATAAAATTGTGTACTAGTTCAGTGAAAATGGACGTCACATTAAACTCCAAAACATATAAATGAACTAAAATTAAAAAAACATACAAGACTAACAAAGGCCAGAGGCTCCTGACTTGGGACAGGCCAAAAAAAAAAAAAGATCTCAACCCTCCCCCTATACCTCTAGCCAATGTAGAATAAAGAAACACATAGCATTACGCACAGTAAAACTCAGTTTAAAAGAAGTCCGAGTCCGATGTCAGAATAGGTAACAAAAGAAACTAAGCAAAATGACAATGATACATAAATTAACAAAGGACTACTAGCAGATACTGACATGCCCGCTCCAGACCTCAATTAAACTGATTGAATGATTATGTCTTCATCATATGCAAATCAAGTACAATCCCTCCGGTTAGGGGTTTAGTATCATACCATCATAAAATATATGAGAAGAACATAACCCGTATCATTCCAACAATTGGTTTTATAATAAATGTGTTTCTTTCCAATGCAAAGACCCTATGAGTGAATCAATATTAATACCAAAATATGCAATCCTTAATGACCTGACAACAGTATCGTAAGTTAACTATATCCTTTCCGAATAAGTCTGTTTAAAGGTTTGGTAGCCTGTGAGGTGAATGCCGACATTTTTGTGCTTTGTATAGAATATTACCATAAAATATTGGATGTGAAATACCTGAACGTATAAGATGTCTGCATGTTGATTTATATTTACGAATGATGTCCTTGTACCGATGATAAATTTTAGTAATTATACACCATCAAAAACTCATTAATTTTGATTAATTGATATGAAGAAAAACAACATTAGATACTACCTTTGCTTGTACATTTCTAGTCCATCGACATCTTTAATATAGAATTGTTTAGCATCTTCAGGGACAGGGGTCGTCAGTACGTCGGTATAATTCCTAAACATTTCCCTGAAATTAGATGACAACAGTTTTTGTTTAAACAAATACCCACCTTTTTCGTCTTCAAAGTTGTATACTAATAAAATGTAATCATTGAAATATTTTTTATGACGGGGGATTAAGAATCACTTGCCCAGATGTCAATGCATTTTAATTAAGCATGATATAATTTTTATGTTGACATTTCAGAGATGCTAACAAAAAACGTAGAGTCTTAAATTATCTTCACGGTGTTAATGTATTTGTTAGCTTGTATGGCATCAAGTGCATCTTATTTCCGAATTGCGCATATATTGCATGAAATTTAGTTCAGTATCTTGTAATTTTATGTTAAAACTACTATTATATTCAAATGTTGAGCATGATAAAACGTGATGTCAATGTCATGGGATAAAATTAATGTGAAATAAACACCGTGGATGAGTTAGGGAGCTACCATATGATTTTTTATTGGGGGGGGGGGGGGGGGGGGGTGGGGTAGGATAAACCAATAAAAAAGGCAAGACCGAATAAAGTGAAAAATAAAAAGGCAGGACCGAGATTACAACTAAAAAAAATGCAGGACACAATGTTTAATGCTACCCTCCCCCCATCAAATGGTAGCTCCCTTAGGGTTTCTGTTCTTGCGTTGTTTGAATGTTGCACATACCAACATTCGTTGGTACATTTTAAAGTGAATTAATAAACCTATTGACCCGCGGTTTTTAGACATGATTTAAGTCAAAACAACATCCTCCTTCGTAACCCCTTTTTGTGGAACAAATTATTTAATAGTATCTTAATTGGATTCAAAGCGATTGCATTATTATTATAATCTATGTAATCTTTGAAAAACGATATAAAATTTAGCCGGGGTCAACATACAAGAGGAATAAGCTTCTGTTTTTGTATTAGCAAAACATTTACACGTACTTTACTTGGCCTAGGCTTTTATCTTTTTTTGGTTCGAGCGTCACTGATGAGTTTTATTTTGTAGAGGATTATACGTAATAGATTTAACAACCATGCTGATCATGTTAACCTCGTACCGAAATCCCAATAAAAGAGGGACGAGAGATACCAGAGGGACAGTCAATAATTGATAATATATTTTTAGTTTACTTTGATTTCATTTTGTTTTCTGTGGGTAAAAGTTGGGCTATTATTGATTTCGAGAGGGGCGTTTGAAGATGCATTGACAGGAGGATTATGGCACAAATTACAAAAATCAAATATCAAGAAAAAGGTTTTTAAAGTTATCCAAAATATGTATCAAAATGCAAACATATATAAAATGGAAATGATTATTTTCTGGTTTTTATTGTCGCAATTTCATTCATTTTTCACATTTCGTGGAAGTGAATAATATTCAAGTCTTGAATATTTTTCGGAATTACGCGAAGAAAAAAATTATGTAGATTAAATTATGTGTAAGCTGAAGACATCGCCAGATAGCTCTCAAGGGATGAAAAAAAGGAATATTTAGTCTCGTTTATTCGTGAGCTTTTTTCCAGTTACAAATGCATTCTTCTAATGTAAATGTTTTGGTTTTTTTTTATCTTTGTACTATATGTATAGTATGTTTCCATTTCTCATCAATGCAATATCGTATTTCATGTGCACATAAAATCTCTGGTACACTGATAGTATTAGAGGCTAATAAAGTGTCTTAAATCTAAATCCTTTCTTAATTTTTGTTTTCAATGTTACGAGAAGCCTTTAATAACCGACTATACGGAATGGGTTTTCATCATTGTTGAGGGTCGTACGGTGTCCTATAAGTGCTTATACCTACTTTATTTGTACTCTGGTGGATAGTTGCGTCATTGGCAACCATACCACATCTACTTATTCTATATGCAATGCAACTTGTGGTTTAGACATATAATCTGTAAAACTGTATACCTTAAGTATTTTGATTATCAAATGATTACATTTAAGAATTAAAATATTTGAGTCATACAGATAAAATTAAAATGTAAGCAATTATGTACAATGTACCATTTCAGTTGTTTAACTGGTTTCCGTTCGTTCGGATGTAGATTGTATGGAGTACCAGTACCCCCTAAATCTTTGTACCGTAGATGGACTCCACGTACGTGTACAGTAGTATCTCCTGATGCTCTAGCACCTAAAACGAATTTTTGTACCGGAAGTCCTAGCTCTCGTATGGTATCATACAGTAACTTTTTTGCTGAAAATATACATAATACTAGTATGAGAGATTTA